AAACCCTAATCACATTCAGCAGATAAAATACTCACACTACACCTTTATTTCTATTACATGATAACTTTTGGGCAGTTATTTCTGGCAAGCATTTTAGTGTATAAAATTGTATTTTATTTTCTCTTGCCATAGAATGTTCCAATTTAGTAGAAATAATGGCACATTTCACCACGACCTGTTCTGACACCAGTTACTCTTTTTGTCACATACCCCAGGCTTAGACGATGCTGAACGCTTTAAAAATTTTCTTTTTTGATATATTATCCTTGCATTGACTATCAGTGTCATCTAATTCTGGTACTAGATCTGGATGATGTTCTACTGGAATTGTGATACCTTTATCTTGAACCAAAATAAGCTGGCATATACGCTATACAAACCTGGCAGGGCATTTACAATGTAGACTGTTGTCAGAATTAGTGCAAAATATTTAAATAGCACAGTGGCACAGTGCATGCCTTCATTTGTATTTAAGACACAACCATTCTAATATGTAGAAATATATTTTAAGGCAGTGCAGTATGTGTTTCTTAAATCAAACAAATGTGTTTTTATTGTGTTATATAGAAATGCTGTATTTGTTTCTTGCTTTGTATGTTTTTGACATATAGTTGTTATCAGTGGTTGGCAATAGCCATCTATATCAGGGGTTCTCAACCCAGTCCTCAAGGACCCCCTACCAGTCCAGGGTTTAGGGATTACCTGGGTGTGCCTAAAGTTTTTAGAAAAAAAAAAAACTTTTCTTTTTCTAAACACCTTAGACACACCTAGGTAATCCCTAAATCCTGGACTGGCAGAGGGTCCTTGAGGAATGAGTTGAGAACCCCTGATATATATGGTTGCCACAGTAACATATGAGACTGTGCTGTTCCTGTGCAGTGCAAAATAACTGATTTGTTTCTGTTGAATAGAAAGGTTTAACAAGCAAACACTTAACTACTTAACTACATGACAAATGCTGATGAAATAAATTTAAAAAAAATTGTATTTAGATTTAAAATGATGTGTTTGAAGCAATATAATCACTAAAGGATTCTGTGAGCATCATTCACAGATTTTTTTGTCAAACCTTTTGGAAACTGTCTGACAAAAATGGAGGCTCTCACCAACACGCAACACTACAAATGTGCCTTGATGTGGCAAGTGAGCTTACACTTCACTGGCCATTGGAGTATAATAAAAAGAAACTTCCATTAATTTAAATGGACATAGGGCTTTGGGATTTGTTAGCAAGTAACTTTTCTCTTTTATTTTCATGGTATAAACATTTGCCAAAAGGTGTTTGCAACTGTCAGGATTGTGTCCTGACAATTATGTTTTAGCTTAATTTATTTCTGTTCCTTTAAAAGATGTTCCAGCTCTCCACCACTAGTGGCCTCCCTAGCCACTAGTCACCTTAGTCCTCACCTGCCTAGGACTAATTACAGATCCTACAAAAGGCCACACCCGAGAATACCAGTGGCCTTTACATTGAAGTTGATGTTCTTACTGAAAGACTTCAGATTCTGGCTCCTGAGCAGCAACCTGTGACTTGCCTTCATTACTTCCAACCTGACTCACTAGCAACCCTGCTCCATACCCACCTGGATTGCTTACAACTCTGCTTTATCCTGCCAACCTGATTCACTAGCAACCCTGCTCCATACCAACCTGGATTGCTTACAACTCTGCTTTATCCTGCCAACCTGATTCACTAGCAACCCTGCTCCATACCAACCTGGATTGCTTACAACTCTGCTTTATCCTGCCAACCTGATTCATTACCAACCCTGCTCCATACCCACCTGGATTGCTTACAACTCTGCTTTATCCTGCCAACCTGATTCATTACCAACCCTGCTCCATACCAACCTGGATTGCTTACAACTCTGCTTTATCCTGCCAACCTGATTCATTACCAACCCTGCTCCATACCAACCTGGATTGCTTACAACTTTGCTTTATCCTGCCAACCTGATTCACTAGCAACCCTGCTCCATACCAACCTGGATTGCTTACAACTCTGCTTTATCCTGCCAACCTGATTTATACAAATCTGCATAACCCCCCTATCTGGACATTACTGCTTACTCTTATTTACAAGGTGTTATTTTCCTATCCTGAAACCTTTTTATTGTTCTTTATACCTGTCTTATTATTCTTCCTATACTGTTATCTCTAGCTTTCTTATTATTTGCACACCCGTTTTTATTATCTTTATAGGGCATATTGCCTTAACGTTTATTTCTCTCACTTCCCTTCTCTCTATTTCATTCTATAAGTTAACCTGCTGATATGTCAAAACCTACCAATAAAGCCTCTTTAGTCCACTCTGGCCAAAGCTTCCTATCTGACCTGACCAAGATCATGACCACAACACTAAGTCTTCCCTGTATTTTTATAATAGGGCATTTAGCAATGAAAAGGTTATAAGAACACCCTGACCCTTATTTGTGCATTCTGCAATCATTTCTCTTGAACTGCTTTTCATAGAACGACGTACATGCCACCAATTCATCCAGGACATACTATGTCCTTATGAGGACTACAAACTGCAGGATAGTTTTTAGTGTAGGACTAACAACCACATTTTATATGCTTAACAATTGCAAGTTACATTCATTTTTTTTTTTTAGTTGGTAAAACACACTGTGTGCTACCACGGACGCTCTTTAATTTTTACTACTTTACACTTGTATACATAGTTTTGTGAAATTCTAAGTATAAAAACTTTTTTTTTTTTTGTTTTTTTGTTTCTCAGGCTAGAATCTCCTAGGCTGCTAGTCTGTCATCTCCTCTTCAAATTTCAATCAATTGATGTTTTGTAGTCAGTGTATCAACGATTAGAATCATTACTGCAGCACTATCATAGACATTGTGTTACATAACTGGAGCAATGAAAGATGTATAGCCCTACATACAAACAGCTCTCCCTCTAAACGTAGTCCTTGCCAGGGATCAATGGCCAAATTCTGCTTTTTCATAGCAGCAACTTTCACATCAATCACTAACAAAATGCCACATTTTCATTCTCTTGCCACAGCTGTCTCCAATGATTGTCATAATATAGCTACAGAATGTTATCACTGCCCTGTTGTCAAGGGTTAATACACAATAGTTGTGGCATACATTAGAAACATGTAATACTTACTGCATTACCCTCCAGTGACTCTTGCTGTGTATAACCACAATAAACAATGCACCCGCACTCAAGTACTGCTTAGCAATCTGGCCATCCACCTGAGAGGTGCTCTGTGGACACAGTAGTCAGCTAGAGTCTAGCAAATAGTGACAGACACAGGCAACATCCCAAGGTTCTTGATGGTGCGTTTATTAGAGGGTAAGTCTCCTCACAAGTGCAACGTTTTGGCTCTATGCAGCCTTAACCATGCATAACAAGTGCAAAGCTTCATTAGGTATATATATACACCTTTTAAATTGATTAACTAATAGATCACATGGTCAATCAACGTTGAGCTCTGAAAAATCCTAACAAGGATTACTCCCCAAGGTTATAAACCAGATGAACATGAAAAGCATAACATGGAGTGTTCTCTCATTTCGATGAAGGTACTTTATTATATACCAATAAATCTTAATATCATTAGGCATAAGGCGCACTCTGATAAAAAAAAAAATGTCTTTTCAAATAAACCTTTCTCTGCTAAACAGTTCCTAAATGATTTCCTTATATACATTATCAGCGATATATTGAATATCTTTAACCCATGAATAAATTAAAGGTTAATTACTATATATACACATTTACACTACAGTAAAGTTAATTCATAGGTCAATAGCTTGAATTCTGCCACTATAGTACCGCAATTTAAATAGATCACAGATTAGTTTACTATATACAATCCATGTAAATGCTATGTACAAATTTACACTTCAATATAAAGCAATTCATGGATCATTGACTTCAATTCTGCCCATATGGCACTGCCACAATCCAGGTGGGTACACTGGGACAAGCTCCCTGATGTTGTACATATATCCCAGTAAGAACCATGCAAACAAGACAAAAGAGGACATCACTATAATAGCATCTTAAATTACAAGTGGTGATTCAAGATAAACTCTCTATTAAGGCCCTTTGGGCTCAGTGTATCCATTGTGTGAATCCAATAGGCTTCCTTCTTTTTAAGATGACCCACACAATCACACCCTCTCCTTAATGGTGGTACATGGTCTATTACCTGAAATGTAATTGTGCTATAGTGTGATTGTGGTCTATCAAATGAGCAGGAATCCGTAATTCAAACTGTCTAGTCCTGATAGTGGACTTGTTTATTTCTTTCTCTCTCGGACTTTCATTGTAGTCTCCCCTACTTAGAGAAAGCCACAAGGACATTTAATAATATATACAACATAAGAATATCCACAAGTATAGCAGCCCCTTATGTTGTAAGTACGGCCAGTTTGTGGATGAGAAAACCTATCACCTTTGATCACCGAATTACATGAACCACAGTTGTGGCATAGAAAAGTGTCAAAGACTGGGGCAGATAAAAAGCACTTTTTTTTTTTTTCAATGGACCAATGTCTGCTCGGACAAGAATATCCCTTATATTCTGTGGTCTTTTATAGGAAAACAGGGGAGATTGCAATTCAGGAATTTCTGGGAAAGATTTTTTTAGGTTGCCCCACTGTCGACGAATGATCTGTGCTATTCTATGACAGAGTGGATTAAATTGGGATACAAATGGTATCCTTGATGAATCATTGATTACTTTTATTTTGAGTACAAGGAGAGAGTCTCTCTAGACAAAGTATTCTCTCCTTTTCTTTCTTAAGGAATGTGGTTGGATAACCACGACTCCAAAACTTTTTGCCCATTTTTCCAAGCCAGCGTAAACGTGTATCAAGATCTGACACATTTCTGGCCCCCATGCATATTGACTACGAGGTTGTGACTGAACAGTTCACTTTGGATGGCAGCTAGTGTATTGCAATAAATGATTTCTGTCTTTTGGCGTGGTGAAGCCATTCTCAAGTCCAAGAAATTGATGTCAGTCTCACTGCTCTCCATTGTAAACTGAATCTCTGAAGATATAAAGCTCCTCCTTGGTTCCACACCATACGCCAAACACATCGTGCATGCGTGCTGTGTAGGAGACATTCTCTAGGGTGGAATCTAAACAAAATAAAATAGACAGACAAATAGTTAACCAGACAGCCATAGATGGCATATCAATGCTCAGCATATGTCTAATTTATGATTTATTCGCCAACTCTGCAGTTTGTCTCCCAACAGTTCAACTCACAGTGTTCTCAGTGGTTCAGTATACACTGTGAGGCAGAAGGCAGTCCAGGAAGACATTGTGTAAAAAATAGGGAAACAGATAAGGAGGCAGGCATTTGTTGAGCTTTTGTTTTTTAGTTTATATTAAAACTTAACAGAATTGAGCAATGACAAAAAAATAATAGATCTACAAGAGCAACTCTTATCAAATAAGCATAAGTTGTGCTGGTTCTTATAATGTCCATTTAATACACCAACAATAGGTCCTGTGGCTGCATACTTTACTTCTAGCGGGATCATCTCAGTCTTTCATCCTTCAGGGGTTGATAAAATTAATTCAGCTGAGTAGTAATAACTTCTGAACCCCAGGGCAATGTTTGGAGATGAATATTTCACTGTATCCTTCTTAGAAAATGACTCGTATTACATATTAAAACTTTAAAGATAGATGTTATGAGCATCCAAAAAGAAAGGTGATTAACAATTAGTGGAGTTAATATCCAATGATATGCTAGCTGGATATGAAACCACTGAAACCCTGTCCCGGAGAACAACAATGTAACAAAATTTGTTACATAATCATACAAGATTCATGCTGCACTTAGGGAATAATGAAATCTAGCAATGCTTTCAAAGCATCAATCCTAACTTGCATGAATTTTAACTTTCATTAGAATGAAATTCTGTTACAAACAGTTTGTTCGACTTACAGATACTTTGGTACTTGGAGAAGTTTTGCTCTGTACTATTATTTTGGGGGACACTATGAATTATTGTCCTAATGTTACACAGTGTATCCTGTACTGGATTTGCATCTTGGGCAGTGGTAGGATCAGAGTAAGCAGATCTTCTGTGCTCATAGCCAAAACCTGATCCTTAACTCCTTAAGGACACAACTTCTGGAATAAAAGGGAATCATGACGGAATATTTCCATCATGTGTCCTAAAGGGGTTAATTTTGCTTAAGAATTCACTGTAGGAATGTTACCAATTATAACCTTATTCTTTAGAGTTCTTGGTGCACATGCAATTTCTTTACACAACTGCCTTACAAATACAGATACATCCACCTCAAGCTACACAAACCAATATCAACAATTTCACTGTGAGATATGCTAAACTATAGAAGATTAAACAGTAGAACCCCTGTGCCTTGTTGATTGTCTGAAATCCTTATGCTGGCCAGGGACAGCAAAACCATTTTAAGACAATATTGCATTACGCATGGAAATAGGTTTCCATACATAAGTGGATGTGTTTAATACACAGTTTAAAATATGATAGGTTTTATCATGTTATTGGATGCTTTAGCCATTTAACCATTTACCCATTTGTAAAACTTCAAAACGGTCCTTTTTGTTTATATCTGTCCAACCTAAATTGTAGCAATAATTTACATTTAATTCCCCTTCTAAACAATTGCTCTTTGCGAAAGAAAATCAATTTGCAGAACCAATAGCGGCCCACAATTTCATGATGGCATTGAGCAACTGCAGATGGTAATAATCTCTTTCACTGGATATATGACAGCAGTTGTACACCTTCTAAAATGTGCTTTCTTCCAAAGCTTTTATGGTCCACTTTGACTTCAGGCAATAATTGGTAGATAGCACCCAAAATCTCATTACTGGTTTAATCGGATAACTAATCTTTTTGCTGTCATGATTTTTAATCTAATTCCCATGCTAAATTCTCTAGAGCCGCAGTATCAAACATCAGTCATGATGTTTATGCCAGGAGAACCCAAATTTGCTTTTGATGGAAAATAAATGATATAGACAAAAAGTGTTACATATTTTTATTATAGGTGCATTATTTGATCTGAAATGGCCTCAAGCTTTGACACAAGTGTTATCATTTTACTTTCTGAAATCTATTTTATACACAAAATTATTTGACAATATAAAATGATTTTTAAGAATAAGAAAATGGTTTGATTGAAAAATGTTAAAAAATAAAGCATATGCATTTCAGCTCTAAAGTATCATATTTCCGATATAAAGTATTAAAAAAAAATAAGTAAAAGATTAATTATACTTAAATATTTACTAGTGGTAATATCTTAATATGTGTACATTTGCATTAAAAACAAATGTATCAGTAAGGTTAACCAGAGCAGCCATCTTGCTTTTTTAAAGTATTAAAGGACCACTATAGTGCCAGGAAAACATACTCGTTTTCCTGGCACTATAGTGCCCTGAGGGTGCCCCCACCCTCAGGGACCCCCTCCCGCCCGGCTCTGGAAAGGAGAAAAGGGGTTAAAACTTACCTTTTTCCAGCGCTGGGCGGGAGCTCTCCCTCCTCTCCTCCTCCGATCCTCCTCCTGGGCTGAATGCGCACGCGCATTCAGCCCGTCACATAGGAAAGCATTTACAATGCTTTCCTACGTGCTCTCACTGTGAAAATCACGGTAGACCTGCTCTAGTGGCTGTCAATGAGACAGCCACTAGAGGGAATGGGGGGAAGGCTTAACCCATTCATAAACATAGCAGTTTCTCTGAAACTGCTATGTTTATGAAAAAATGGGTTAACCCTAGAAGGACCTGGCACCCAGACCACTTCATTAAGTTGAAGTGGTCTGGGTGCCTAGAGTGGTCCTTTAATGACAGCTCAGCTTTTGTTGTAATATAAATAATAACACCCAGGGCCAATGCTACACAATTTTGCACCCTTGGCAAGACCACTTACTTGCACCCCACTTTGTCTCCTCTGAACCCCTACAAAAAAATCCCCAAATTACTAACTTTTTATACTTACAGTTTTCCAGACCGGATGAAGACGGCATCACTCTCACCAAATCTTGTAAATAAATGTCAATTGAGAGCTCGGAATACCGGATCTCGGACTAAACACACCAACAAGACTCATTTAAATATTCATGGATATTGACCGAGAGTAGTGATCTGAGCAAGCCAGGAGTGGCGAAATGCGTCATCACGCTGAGCGTAGGAACGCAATACTGAGGACGTAGTCAGATTCCGCCCACCAGTATGAACACTGCAGCCCGGGAATCCAGGAGTGCCGTCAACTTGGATTACCAGGGTCTGTTTAAAGTTTCTTACTGGACTGGTGAGACGGAGATTATTAAGACGTGTGTCTCTGCGTTTATGGAATAAAGTTTATTTACATTTTTGATCTCAGCTATCCATCATTTCCCTGCAAACAAGGGAGGAGATATACTGAGAACGCATATAGCCTGAGCAGTCTTGTACCTGCTCCACGTTTGTGAGTGTTTTTAACATATCTGGTTCTATAATACTATTTATTATCTAGACAATATTATGCTATGTTTCTTTATTTTTTTCTTTTCATGTGGAACTCTGCATAATACAAATATAATATTTGTCCTTGTTAAAGTTTGAAGTACACTGACTCCATAAGCACTTTCAGAGAAATCTGTTTTTTTTTTAAATTGGTTTGCACACATTGGTTTTTGCACTTTATCTAAATGTGTTTTCACAGTATTGCAAAAGCACTTTTTTTGCTGTTGTTTAAGCACTTTTAATTGTATATTGCACAAACAAAAGTTGAAGTCACGGAATGCAATGGCATAATCATCAATCCAGTCTTCATCTAAGCAAGGATTTGGCAGCATTGGCTCTTTGACTAGGGACATCAAAAACTCTTTTAAAAGCAGAAACAAAGTCAGTGTAGCAATACTGCAAGCGTTTATTATTTTCCCATAATGAATTTGCCCAGATAAGAGCATTGTCCATTAGATGGTTAATAATAAATCAAACTTTGGTTCTGTCCATAGGATAGGCATGAGTAAAGCGCTGACCTGACTGAGAAAACCACAACCAGCAGATGGATCTCCTCTATAACGCATAGTGGCTGTCATGTTAGGAGAAGAATTATTTGCATTACACGTCTCTAATCCAGCAGTAGTAGTAGGAACTACTGGAGTGGTTTTCCCTCCCGGTTGCAAATTAAGCAGCATTAGCAATGCTTGGGTAAACTGGTCCATTCTATGGTGCAGATCCTCTATGAGAGCTTCATAAGATGCTAACTGCGGATCTGCAGGGTCCATGGCCCTGTTGTGATGCCATGGTATCAAACCCCAACACAGAGAGTATGAACTCTAAATAGGTGGTATTAGTTTAGCAAATTATTCTTCAGTTAAAAACAAACTTGGTTGCCTTTCCACAGTTGTAATGTATGTAAAAATTAGATTCTGCAAATAACTGTCACTACACTTTTCCTAGTGTCAGAGTGTTCTCTAGTGTATTGGGGAAGTCATCCCGACAGGGTACAATTATTTAGTGTAGACAGTGAGGACCCAGGTAAAACAAGTGGGTTCCCAATCCTTGACTCCAACCCAAGTTTTAAGAACCTCTATTGCAATGCAAGCAATGCTCCTGCGGGAAAATGAATTAAATATAATTCTGCTCACCTTAATCCGCCCAAGTACATGGAGCTTGCTTCCCTGTCTATTTATCTATAGTTTTATTAAATACTAAAAAATATCATCAAAAAAGAGCAGTTAGATTCATATTAAAATTATAAAAAAGGGGATATCCTGCTGACCTTATAATGTACACTTAGAAGCTTGTGCTTGATGTTCTCAGTAGACTTTGACAAAGTGAAAGCGTAAAATGTTTGGGCATCTCGTTATCTGTAGAATGAATACTGCAGAGCGGCATCATTTAAAGTTGCTGCCTCCTTCTTTTTGTTTAATTCCTTGTACCAATAGTGAAAAAAAGCTGTGTGTTTCATAACATCAAATGGTCACCAGAGCAAGCGAGAAAATTCTCAAAGCTCCATCTTCCTGCTAAAGTGCTAATTGTTAAATGCATGTTAATGTTTTTTGGATTTAGAAAGCACTGTATCACTCCATTTCAGAGTGTGTTTGGAATGTATCTTGTCACATTGGCCTTGAAACTACGTGTGCTTGACCTTCACCCTTTTAGAATCGCTTGTGGACACACAATAATCATATCAGAAAGAGCATAATGCATCCAAGGTTTATTTAATTCATTCATCATTGTCTTTCATCGCCTTTTACTGTGTGTACTACAAAAAGCATAAAAAGGGTTAATATGAAATGTGACATTATTTTCAGTCATATTTTTTTTTTTTTTTGCCTAACGTTATATTTTCATCAAGTCATTTTTCATTTCTAGGGTACAAAATAAGCTGAGATCAGCGTTTTTTGGTAACTGGATTACTGCTTTGTCTCCCTGGAGAAAACACGCTGCTTGTTCTGTATTGACCAGGGAATATTACTGCAGGCTCATTTCACAAACATTGTTTTCTGCTAATACCATTTAAAGCAAGTTTTATCAATGTGTTTAAAAATATATATATTTTTCTTCTGCGTCGACAAACTAGATTTTGCAACACACTTAGGATGAGAGGTTTAGAATATTGGTTGTTTTTTAGAGAATATTGACAGTGCTTTGGGTGTGGACAGGGGAATTAAATTAGCTACTTCATAATATCCCATGGTCTGGATGCCCTTATCTGTGTTAAATGTAGCACTAGAGGTGCATTCACTAAATAGTGCATAGTGGTGAAATTTAACTAAATTTAAAAAAACGTGACCTAGGTAACAGGACTGGTCAAATTGTTTGGAAATTATCACCAGTTTGGTTATTTTGGCATAAATGTTTAAATTCTCATATTCATTTATCACATTTTATTATAACAGACATATTTGTATATTTATATGAGAATGTCCACTCTTTTCTTCTTAATACCGTATTTCAAATAAATGTTATGCCCTTTAAAAAAAAAAATCTCAAAAAAGTATATACAAAAAGATAATTCCTGCGCTCACTCCCATCACTCCTGGGCGGCAGCAACAACCACAGTACACATCAGCCCCAATAAATACTGTAAAAAACAAAGAAAAAGTTACTTGCGCTCTCTCCTTAATCCCTATGTATATTTAAACAAATGGAGGTCATTTAGTTACTCCAATGGCCATTGGAGGGAATGCCCGCCTGCCAACGTCAAGGCAGACCCCCCAGGTGGGTCCTACACTGACCTTTCACCTTGCTTCCTTGAGCTTCTGGCAAAGATATTTCTAATGAGACAGAGAGGGGTATTTTTTATATAAACCCCTATATACTTAATCACCCTTAATAGGGAACATATGGGATGGGCAGCAGAATTGTAACAAAGCTGTGTGATACAAAACGTGAATGCAAATACAAACATACGCTCACTCCCGTCTGTCTTGACGTTGGCAGGTGGGCATTCCCTCCAATGGCCATTGAAGTAACTAAATGACCTCGACATGTTTAAATATACATAGGGATTTAGGAGAGAGCACAGGTAACTTTTTTTGGGTCAAAAAAAGTATATATCTATATCATTTTAAGACAGTAAAATTGCTACAAATTGTGATTTTTCTTTACAAGCAAAAGGAGAAAAGGGTTATTTTTAAATGGACATGTACTAGCCCACATCGTGTGCTTCAGCAATTTCATCTATGCAAGTCGCAGTCTCCTGCGCACTGATAACACAAGTCTTGAATTGCGCACGCTGCTTACTGCTGCCAGGCCCAGTTTATGTAAAGGTACTGTTAGCAATGAGAGCTGGTGACAAGCAAAGTCTGTAAAGGACAGACGATTAAATAAAACAAGAGATAGGAAGAAATACAGACGAGGTTTAAAAGAAAAAAATATATCAATTTTGAAAAAAATTATTGACCAAAAAACCAAACCACAAGGGCTTTATTCACTAATGTACCCAGTCTGGGTTAGCAAAAGTAATCCAGGACCATCTGTAGAAATCCAGACATTGTTTACCCAGATTTTGCAATACAGATTCTAAATTACAGAGGATTGCAGCCTGTGCAAATGCAACCGAGCAGCTAAAAATCCCAAACTGCTTGATGAAAATACTCAACGAATGCCTAACTACAGTAATAATTAGACAGAACAGGCCAGTATCTGCTTGCAGATATGGTTCCAATGAATTCCACAATTCAACTAGTTGAAATTTATGCTAGAAAAAGAGGAACTAAAACCTTTTGATAAGCCACATTGGAGACAAAACTCACACTAGTTCCTAATATCAATTTCTTAGCCCCATCGTTTTCCTCTTTCACTCTCAACTCCTCTCTGTGTATTTTATAACCCATCCTACTTCTGCCTCCCTCTCCATGTGTCTCTCTTCTTTCCATGGTATGTCTGTCTCTTTCAGTCCCCTTTTTATGTCTGTGTCTTTCAACCCATCCTCTATTTGTCTTCATAAGACTCTTTGTTTTATGTTTGTCTTTTCTTCGTAGACTTTTCTCACATCTGTCAAAGCATGTCTATTTGCTTCCCTTTACGTTTGTCTCTATAACTCCCCCTTTATGTTTGAATCTGTTAGCCAGGCCCCCATAGACATTAAGCCCCATATCTCTACGGTTGGTGGTGGGGGGGAGAGGGGTTGTGGTTGCCTTAATTTTTAAAGCAGCCATCTATTATAAAAACAAAGATTAGTAGCATAGTGCCCCCCAGGTGACTGTTTGGTGCCGGAGAACAGAACTTTGCTGAACACCATCTATTTGTTAGGTAGCAAGGTGGGTTCACCTTGAATAGCTGGCTGTTGACTTCATTGAGATGATGGAGAGTATCAGCAGCATGCTGTTAATAGGGTGGATGGGGGGTGAGGGGAGAGGACATAACATGATAAGTCATATCTCCACATCTCTGTCAGTGTAAGGGTTATCAAGTTTTATTCTGGGCTCAAGCCCCATATGTTTTTGGAACTTATCATTGACCTTGCAAGACTTCTTTGTATGTTTTAGCCCAAACATATACTAGCCAGGTTTTCACTATGTCAAAGCTGGTGATTTTGTTCAAGATTTTGCCATTCAGTTTTACATTTACCACAATTCAGAGTTTAGTGAATAACCCGATCAGAATTCTCTATCATGAAGCCACATAGTTCAAAGAATCAGAAATAACTGAGTGGGTTAATCCAGGGACCAGCGTGATTTAATTTCCTCTGATCTCCCCAGCAATGATATGCACCATTCCCATAGTACTGGTTCACAGCAGACCAGATACAAGTACTTGGAAGACCTGATCTGGCCTTATATTTGACACCCCTGCAATGATGATAAATATTGGAGATTAAAAGCGAAAACAGAGTATATAAGGTAAGGTACAATGAGGGGAAAAAAGTATTTGATCTCCTACTGATTTTGAACGTTTGCCCACTGTCAAAGACATGATCAGTCTATAATTTTAATGGTAGGTGTATTTAAACAGTGAGAGACAGAATAAAAAAATAAAAAAAAATCTATAAACACTCATGTCAAAAAAGTTATACATTGATTTACATGTCAATGTGTGAAATAAGTATTTGATCCCCTATCAATCAGCATGATTTCTGGCTCCCAGGTGTCTTTTATACAGGTAACTCTTGTATACAGGTATACAGGTAAAGGGAGTGCTCCTAATCTCAGTTTGTAACCTCTATAAACGACACCTGTCCACAGAAGCAATCAATCAGATTCCAAACTCTCCACCATGGCCAAGACCAAAGAGTTGTCCAAGGATGTCAGGGACAAGATTGTAGACCTAGACAAGGCTGTAATGGGCTACAATACAAGGCATGTATCCAACAGAATAGTGGCCTGGAGTTCAGCCAGTAGTGTCTTCAGGACCGTTGTGGTCACCGGAGTTGAGTCAGGGGTTCACAGGTGCTGGGTCCGGAGACCGCATAACGGGAAGCTCTTCCGCATCCTCATCTAGAGAGAAATCTTTGAATTCCGAGTAGGCCTTATAATGCTTGGAGTAACCCTTTAGCTGTAGAGGATTACTCCAACTGTAGGCCTCAGGGTAGGTGGCCATCTTTGTCACGTTTCTCTCCATGCCATCCAGACGGCTAGATGTGGCCACCCCACAGGTGCCTTATAGGGTAATTGATCCTGGGTCCTTCTGTATCCTAAGCCTGCTCTCCTGTCTCTGAGACACTTCTGAACTTACGGTTCTAGCCCGGTTTACCTGGCCTTGTCTGCAGCACTAGGGGGTTGGACTTCTCCTTTGAATACTACCTGTCTCTTTAAGTCCACCTGTGGCATATCGCAAATTGACTGCTCGGTTTCCAGCTATATAACACTGCCTCTCCCTGACAGCAGTGTCAGTCCATTGTATCCTGTATCCTGTTGCTTAAGACTGGCTTGTGACCCCTGCTTCTAGGTCTTCGTTATTGCCTTTTTGCTGCCTGCCCTGACCTTTGGAACCTTGCCTGACTACTCTCCTGGATTTGCCCTTGTCTGTTTCCTCATACCCAGTTATTGTACCTGCCAAGCCCCTGTGCACAGATTCACACCCCAGGTAGCTTCTTACGTGGTTACCGTGGGTTGTGTTTATCTGCAAGGGTGAGCAAACACCTCTGCACTTCAGACTCCACTCAAGGTAAGACCGTGACAATCTTGGGCCCAGCCGCGTGGCGCCACGCCATTTGGCGAAGAAAATCCCATACGTGCAGTCCTGATCGCGGGTTATCTGGCTTCAGCTTTTTGTTTTTGCAGCCTATCTCAATTCCCCGTCTTTAGAAAAGACCGTTAGGGCCAGTAAGTTGGGTCTTTGAGCCGTGAAATGAACTGAAATATCCCCAGTTGCACAGAGCTTTCTCGGATCGTGTTTGCTCAGCTTGGGTTCTTGGCTCCGCCCCCCCTTATACTGTATTTTTGTGCCAATACTCAGAAGCAAAAGGATAATAATGATATCGATATCGTCTTCCACCACAGATCTGCATATTTGAGATGACATTGCTCAGATTTTGGAAAACCTTGACACGTTTGTTTTATTGTATTGACTGACACAGTAAGAAAAAGTTGCTTTTATTAAATTATTATTGTTATTAACACTTATCCTCATCTTGCCATTGGGATTGCGTTTTTTTCGATTCTTGACTTTTTTTTAGCAAAATGTGAAATGGGGGTCCTTCAATATTTAATAGTCTGCAGTTTTCAACCATAAAGTAATCTCGAGACAACTGTTTAGTTTGGGATCCCTTTACAGTTAAAGGGTTACTCCAAGCATTATAATCCTTCAGGTCTCTTACCAGAGTTCCCATCAGGCTCCAATTCTCTTGGAATGGCCAATGCAGAGTTTTAGAATCTGTAAGCTGTTCCAGTCACCATTCATCAGTTTTTCTACAAATGGCTTCTCCGTTTTGGATTAATTTTTATAAAATAAATCTATCACAGTGTAATATGTCATGTGTTGTCGTTCATCTGAGGGTTTTTTTAACCTAATTTTAAGATCTGCTAAGGAACAGATGATTGTTATTATGTCCTGATGGGTAAAACAATAGAATTCAAAGAGGGCATACTTTCTTTTTCCCATGACTGTATAACATATAAGCTATATGCTTTCTCTCCATCTTCCATTTTTTTTACGCTTGGCGTATTAGTGGCAGAGGGTATTAATATGTCTCTCTTTCTTAGTTATTAGATATTGCATTTTTTTTTTTTTCATTCATGAAGTCTGGGGAATCGATGGTTATATTATACATTATACCTTAAATGAATCTCTCCTATGACTCATCTGATCTGTTTTATGTACATTAATTTATGATTTCAATGACATGCTACAGTTTTTATACCAATTAATTAATGGCTGACTTTTAAACCAACCTGAATATGAAGAACTGGAACATGTGAGAATTGCAAAACTGGCTGTGATTTTTTTTTTTAATTATTATTATTTAGTTATTGCAAATAAATGTAGCAATTCTGGCGCACAAATCAGAGCCCAATTTCTGTTTATGATAGAAAGTGATACACAATGCATTCATCAAATTGTCGTATTTTATGGTACACATCAAATATCTCATTCCTGCTTATACGACTGATTTATTAAATGCAAACATCTGTTGATGCTTTTGTTTGTTGTTTTGAGTTTATTAACATACTTTGATATTCCATACTTAAATCACACAATTGTGTATCTTAAATTAGATGATCTCACGTGAGATAAAATAACATCATTTGATGAATATTGGCAATAGAAACTTCAAAAGTGAATTACTTGTGAGAATTGATTGAATGAGATCAAGATATGCTATGCTAAAGAAAAAAGGACAATATCACAGAGGCAGTGTACACATAATCTCATTATGTCCCCTTCAGGCATATCACACAAAATTATGTTAGGGAGTGAGGAAGGGGTGTTTAAAAGGGGCAGCCCGAGAATATCCTGTGTACTCCCTTTCTTCTTCTTTAAATATCTCTCAACTCACAAACTAGGACCTGTTGCATACAGAGGACGGGAAAATAGGAAAGGAACACATTTAAACAAAATGTGGTGGATACTTTCAGCAATATCAAAGCAAGTTAAAAAGCATCCTGGGGTAAGTGTTGTACTTTATTTGCTGCTTAATCTTAATTTTTTGACAGTACCCTGTAACCTGTGTTACAAACCATGGTCACTTTATAGTGGGAGTGTGCTGTCTCAGAATACCTGGTGATACCTTCAAACTGGGTGGAAGAATCTACCATCAGCTTTTAATACCAGAGTTGTTGGCAAATGAAGAGTTATTGGGAATTAAGGAGTTTTGTTCTTTTTCCCCTCATTAGGCATTTACAATATTTATTTTGTTTGACTTGTTTAAGTGAGTTATATCCTCTGTACGTCTGGAAAAAATGGTCTTTAGAACAGTATTATGTAACAAGCATAATCCTGGTGTCAGACAGGGCAAGTTTCTTTTGATAACTATATCATATGTATCTAATAATGCAGCAATGGATGTTATAAATAAAGAACAATTTGGGGGAAAAGTTCTTAAAGTGGAGTGGAGTCAAAGGTAATATTTAGTTGGTGTCCATGGTGATTGCTCCACTTTTAAATCTTTTACCAAAATCACAGTTTTAGAAAGCAAATCTGCACATTAGCATGTACAGTGCCTCATCACATTAAGGGTAATGTGGTTAAATATATTTATTTGAAATAAAAGGATTTTAAAAATATTTTGACTAGTTAGCAAAATGTAATGAAGTAGACTTTTGAGATCAGTCTGTGCTGCTAAAGGTATTCTGTCTTCCATAATGCACGCAAATAATAGTCATCTACTAAATAAACCCAGTATTTACCAGTGGTAGGCTACCGTCGACACTCAATATATTGTGGACTACATCTCCCATAATGCTTTTACACCTAT